TGGCATTTATGTATGCGTGTATGTATATAAATGGGGTGAATCTCGGATCCAATCCAATCTAATAATATCTATTTATTCTGTTTTCCTCCATTTCGATTATTATTATTATTATTGTTATCATTATTATTATTATTATTATATTAGAATATTTATCGAGCCGGTTGTATAGTTAAAAAAAAAAGAAAAAAAAAAAAAAAAAAATTGTGAAATAACAGTTAAACAAGGGGAATCAAAAATCGTTTCTCTTTTGTAACAGAGGTAGGCAAACAATGTACGGTGTATAAAGACAAGTTCGCCGTTTTAACTTTCATCAGGGAAGTTTGATTTCTTTCTTGGGGCAAAGTTTTTTATTAAAGAAAAGTACGAAGAGAGATGACTCTTTTTCTCCTCCGCTTCCCTCTCACTCCCTCTCTCTTCCTCGAAAATTAGCATCGACAGAAATTCCTTCATCCCCATGCATATACAATGCGTATGTAAGTAGGTAGGTAGGTATGTATGTATGCATGTGTATATGTATATATATATATATATACATATAAAAAGTTAGAAAAATACATAACACGATCGGAAAGAGTCTAGAAATGGGATTAAAGTGGTACTTGAAAATGTTCACTACTATTGAAAATGTTCAACCCCTCTTATACGAGAAGATATTCGTACAACGCTAGTGGCCCAAGAACAACTCTCTATATATCTCTATCTCTTTCCCTTTCTATGTGAGAAGATAAGGTAGAAATCTAATAAGTTTAAGTATATATGGTGTGTGTGTGTGTGTGTGTGTGTATGTACATATGTATGTACATACATATATATATTGCTTTTACCAACTTACGTATGTTAGACAACTTTGAGATCGTTCAAAGCATACCAGAAGGAAAGTTCTAGATCCGCGTCCTTGACCTTGCGCTTTCGGCCATATTTCTTAGCTCGAACAATGGCACAATAGTATTTAAAAATCTCGAGATCATAGAATTACATATGAGATGTCTCAAGAAGGTCATTTTAAATACATTGTGTATATCTGTTCTGTGTAAGCTCACATAAGTACGTATGTGTGTAGAATAGGCCAAAAGTTCTTAATTAATTTTTACAAATAAATTATTCCTTTTGGAAACTTTTTAGGTTAGCTTTTTCGTATATTTTTCGTTTTCTTTTTCTTCAGATTATAAAACTACAAGCTTAAGAACTTATGGCCCACTTAAGAATTTTTGACCCATCCTATTATATAAACGAATTAAGATGATCATTAACACGTTCACACGAGTGCGTCATGACGGTCAACGAAGATAATCATCGAGCTTTCTTGTAAGACGATTTTTCATTTGTCCACGACAAATAAACACGTATAATACAAATATAATATTTTTGTACACAATTCGATATACTGTGATTCAAAACAAAAAGAAAAATTAACCTAAAAAGATTCTTAAAAAAAAAAAAAAAAGAAAAAAAACCTTAAGTTATATTAAATTAAATTAAATTAATCGATTTTGCGATCGTCGATACGAATACGAAGAGATCAATGAGTTGCGAATATCGTTTAGATCGAAACGATGTTGTTCTTGCGTTACTGTTATTGTTGTTGTTGTTGTTATCGTGATCATAATCGTAGAGAAAAATAGTCGACCGTAGGACAACGAAAGTCTATTTCAAGAAGCCGACGTGTAACAACAGCAGTAGCAAGAGCATCATGAGCAGCAGCAGGAACAACAGCAGCAGTAGGTTACAGTGCGCGGGATAGTTAAGTCAGGTCAGTTTGCTAGCTTACATAAAGAGGCTAAGTAGCGGCGAAAGGAAGAGGACAGCGAATGTTATACACGAGAAGGACAAGTTAGAATAGAGGGAAGGTAATAGGGTGGGGATAGACAAGGAGTGGGAGGTGGAGAATGAAAATGGTAGGAGTTAGTTAGTGAGTGAGTGTTGTTCTGTTGTGTCTGTGTGTGTGTGTTGTGTAAAAGAGAGAAAAAGAGAGAAAGAGACTTTGTTAAAAGGGTGGGGGGCACCTGTTACAACGTTCAAGAGACTGTCATGCCTCTTTCTTTCTTTCTTTCTCTCTTCTTCCATTTCCCTTCTTTTTCTTCCTTCCCGTAGACACCACTTAGGTCGTTACATTGAAATTTCTCTAGACGAAGGCAGCAACGTAACCGTTCCTGTGCATAAACCCATGGCACGATCGATGCGGTCATTCTCTCTCTCTCCCCCTCTCTTTCTTTCTTATAGAGAAACGACACATTTGCCGTACTTCTGTGTGTGTCTATGTATATATATATATATGTGCATACTGTGAATCTCCAAAATGAATAGCATCGAGAAAAGATCAATGATAAATATTACACTTTGATTTCTCCTACTTTGATTATTATTTTACTACTATTACTACTACTACTACTACTACTACTACTACTACTACTACTATTATTATTATTACCGACCATCACAAATTTTTCTCTTATCTATAACTCTAATCTCTGATAAATTCACAATCGTCTATTTTAATTCGATATAGACATATATATATATATATATATATATATACATACATACGTAACTTTTTAAGAAATATTTTATCTCTTTCTTAAGCAAACAAAAGGCAACAGTTATAACGTTTTCATAATCTCATTAAAAGGAATTAAGGAAAAATAAAAAGATGGAAAAAAAGTAAGACAATCGTTGACGCTAAAATAAGTATATGTATATATAGTATGTATGTATGTATGTATGTATGTATGTATGTATGTATATATATATACGCGATATCGAGAACGCATAAGATTGTTTACACTACGTGATTTCGAATGTTGGTTATCACATTCTTCGAATCGATAAAACATGCTGATAACGAAGTGGTCCATGAAAAAATAATGATTGTTATACTTTGTAACTTTGATAGCTGGATAAACGAATGAACACATACATACACACAGAGAGAGGGGGGAGGTGGGGAGAGAGGGAGAGAGAGTGTATGTGTGCAGAAAAAATAAAGAGCACGTTTCAGAAACGTTAGTTGAGCGCCGAAATGGCGCTCATCCGTATGACATACACGCACAACATAACGTATGATTTATAACGGCAATGGTCAATTGGATACATTAGTCGAAAAATATGTTATGTCGAACGTGCGATCGGCACTCTTTTAATATATATATATATATATATATGACGTATGTATGTATGCATGTATATATATATATGTACACACACATACATAATACATAGGAGTATGAAAGACGATCGAACTAATCGACGACAGTTTCGTCGAGCGGTTAATTCTAAAAATCCTCCAAGCTACATCATAATTGGTCGATCTCGGTAGGGTCCTGACCATCCAATCACCGTCCGGCAAAGATCAACCAATGATAGCCGACCAGTTCATAGAGAGCAAAACGATTCCCTACAAACGTTAACACAGAAGGAAAAATCTTTCTTTAGGATGGTTAAATCGAGGATAAAAGTTGTAAACGAAGTGGACCTAAGTTACTTAGAGTATTCCCACACACAAAAAAAAAAAGAAAAAAAAAAGAAAAAAATGAAAAATGAAAAATGAAAAATGAAAAAAAAAAAAAAATAAAAAAGTAAAAATAAAACAACGAAAAAAAAGAAACAAAGAAAGAAGAGAAAGTAACTTCAAAACGAAACAATGCGACAAACAAAAAAGAAAAAAGCAAAAAAGATAAAAAATAAAAAAGACAAAGTAAAAAAGAAAATACAAAATAAAAAAAAAAATAAATAAACAAAAATAAAATAAGAAGAGAAAGCGATTTAATAAGTACTGGGTATTAGGTACTAGGTTAGGATTTTAACTACCCTTCCTTAATACTTTTTCACCCTACGTAAAGCCCCACGCGATAGAGACGCGTCTGTGACCGACAAGAGACATGTCTCTTTCTTTCTTTCTCTCTCTCTCTTTCTCCTCTCTCTCGTTGAAGTATTTCGAGAGAGTTACGGAACGGCGAGAACGCGGGTCCGCGTCGAGAGAGCACTTTGAAACGTGTCGCTGAAATCCTATCGCGGTGGTGGTGGTTCCCCGTTGTAGTCGATCACCCGAGAGAGCAAGAGAAGAAGAGAGAGAGAGAGAGAGAGAGAGAGAGAGAGAGAGAGAGAGAGAGAGAGAGAGAGAGAGAGAGACCGGACGAGAAGAGAGTAGGAGAGAAGACGATAATCGGGCCAATCCGGCCCGATGGAAGGAATAAAAAGAAAGGCGCGTGGCTCGTTGCTGGCACGGCGTCTCCCGCCATATCGCGCCGCCAGTTGCCGCTATACGCACGTACAAACGCGAGCGTGGCAGAAAACGAGAGAGAGAGAGAGAGAAAGAGAGAGAGAGAGAGAGAGAGAGTAAAGAGGACGAGAGGATAGGTAGGTAGGTAGGTAGGTAGGTAGGTAGGTAGGCTGGCGAGCGGGTGGACGAACGGACAGCGGGGGGATGGAAGATGGGAGGTAGAGTATAAGAAGAGGGGAGGAGAAATAGAAGGAATGAAGCGAGCGCACACCCACACACACGGTCGCGTCCAAACGTACGAATGTACGATTATCAGGGGCAGCAGCAGCACCAGAAGAAGCAGGAGTAAGAGAGTAAGAGCATGAACAACATCCAACGTGTACACATTGGTAAAATCATAGTCGTGTAAAGAAGAAGGAGGAGCAGAAGGAGGAAGAAGAAGAAGAATAACGAAGGAGAACGTACGTAAAGGAGAAGAACGTGACCAGTCACGGAATTCTCTGCGGTGCGTATGTAGACCGCGTGTGCGCCGTGCTACTACGCGGGCCGCGTCCACCGAGGAACGAGGAAGGATAGAGAAAAAGTGGAGAGATAGAACAGAAAGAGAGAGAAAGAGAAAGACAGAGACAGAATGAAAGAATGAGAAAGAGAGAGAAAGAGAGAGACAGATAGAGAGAGAGAGAAAGAGAGGAAGGAATTAAACAAAAAGAAAGAGAAAGAAAAATAAAAGAAAAGAAATAGATCGAAGAGAAGAGCAAAGAAGGACCGCGCCGCATCGACTAACCTGTCGGAGGCGACTCTTCCTATATTTCTCGGGCACCTTCGTACTCTTCGTCGTACTCGTGGCGTTTTCACCGGTTGTACTGATTGTAAGAGGGGCCAACGGTATAGGGGGAATAACACAAATCGTTTCACTCTTTCACCACTGTGTTCCTTCGTATCCTTTCTCGCGTTGCTTCGGTCCTTCTTCTTCTTCTTCTTTCTTCTTCTTCTTCCTTCTTCTTCTTCTTTCTTCTTCTTCTTCCTTCTTCTTCTTCTTCTTCTTCTTCTCTCTTTTTCTAGCTCGCTCTCTTTTACGCGGAGGGGTGTCCACACGGCGGCGCGGCTCTCCTCTCGGTTCGCGCCGCTCTCGCGTCGTCCACGGCCGACTTCGGAGAGCCTCCCCCCGTAAAGAAGCCCCGTGTCGATCGTACGAATGCGGACACTGTGATCGCGCGCGCGTCTACCCTTATGACGCCCCGATCGTTTCTTCAAAATATATCTCGATTCAACGGTTTTAATGGAAAAAAGCGACGAACCGACGATGCGCGGAACTACGCTCGCGACACTCTCCCTCGCTGGAGGAAAATGGCGGCCCCCGGTCGCCCGAGTGACTCGCGCGCGCCACCGATCCTCTCCGTCACCAACCGACCGCTCACGGACACGCCCGAACTGACCCGACCGTGTATACCGAACGGTTGTACGCTTAAATTTAAGCAAAATTCAACGACAAACTGTCGACATCGATGATCAATTCGATATATTACTTTTTTTATCGCATACCATTGCGTTATTTAATTAATGTCGTTATTTACTGTCGTTTTAACGATTAAAAAATTATTTAAATATTTGATTATAACATCTGTCACACTTATTTCGTCCTTTTCGCATTTACGATATTATTTAAAAAAATTAATTATTAAAAAATTTCTATTGACAAAGTTTAAGAGATTTATTTAATCCTCGTTTCTACGTACAACAAAGAAAATTAAACATTTTAAATATTATAATATCTATTTAATCCTATAATTATTATAGTATCTGATATTACGGTATTATTTTTCGTTCGGTAAATATGATACGGAGTCTCCATCTTGCGTGCTCATAATCGTCTACATTTTATAAACTGTGATTTCTGAAAAACAAGCCTTTACATTCTTTTTACTTTATTACTTTCTAATAGAAAATCGTTGGACGATAATATTAAATGTATCCTGATGAACTACTACGTATGATTGGTTGACATAAGACTCTGTGATTTATGGACCAATAGAATGAAACAAAGTACCATTGTTAATTATACACTTGAATTCTCGCCTTTTCATTGGTTGACAATAGACATCTACGATTTATCGATAAAAGTCTTACATAATTATTATATTATATTTATAAAAAGTACGTACAATTGTTGTAACGTAAAAATAATTCAAAAGGTTATGTTAATAGCACTTGAAATATAAGTAGTGATATAGCAACAAAAATGACAAGGTTTCTGATTGGCTGGTTACCTATCATTTAGGGATATAGTTGCATTTTCTTTATCTTTTGTATTATTATCGCATAATTTAATTGTGGTTAACACAAATGACAATTTATTATTAAATAATGAAATATGTAAATATCTTGTTGACAATGGAAATAACATTAATAAAATAATGTATTGTACATAAATATGAATATCGGTGTATAATTAAATTTTGTATCGTTTTGATTAGCAGAGTCATCTAACGGTTTAAATTAACATTATAACTTTGTAATTACGGACTAAGCTTTAGTACTAAATATTGAAGCATTTACTGCTACGATCTTGGAGAGAACAAAAATATTTCGTATCATTTGATTGGGGGAAGGAGAAAAGGAAAAAAAAAAAACAAAATAAATAATAATATTATTGTACTTGTAATGGCTTCTTTCAGAACGCAACTTAAAAATATCCAACGTACGTAAATAATATTTTCTTCGTTATAAAGAAAAATGCAAATCTGACGTTCCATCATATGTTCGTTACAAGTTTTTTTCTTTTGTCATTGTGTTTTTACATTATACGTGTTGATCGTACGAAGAAATGGACCAGTACCTACATAGTGTCTTATTGTAATATAAACATAACTGACTGGTACAATCATTATTTAAAATTATACTTGCCATTTTTTACAAATCAATCGACATGTCAGACGTGAAAAGTCTTGAACATCCAACGTTGAAGGTAAATAATATAAATATGCAAATAGTTGATAATAAAATTTACGTTTTTGAATGTTACATATATAAATCTTTGTGAAACAATTTTTAATATATTCTTTTTTGTTTTTGTTTTTTTTCTTTACTTTTTTTTTTTTTTTTTTTTTTTTTGTAATATAGGTACCGTACGAACTTCTAAATAAAAAGTTTCGTTCAGCTCAAAAAACATTAGACAGAGAAGTGTCGCATGTTCAAACTGCAACGAATGAGTTGGAAAAAGGATTGAAAGGTGATGGAACTGGTGTTGCTACTGGAGAAATAACTAGACTTTTGGGTGGCGTAGTAGCTAGACTTCAAGTATTGAAGCGCAAAGCAGAAGAATCAATTGCGGAAGAATTGCAAGCAGGAATGGTTTGTAAAAGACGTTTGGATCATTTAAAGGAACACGCCAATACAGCACCGAGTGCTGTAAATCAATGGAGAAGGCAAAGATTAGATCGTATGCTAGTAGAATATTTTCTTCGAAAAGGCTATTACAAAACAGCAACCAAATTAGCAGATAGCAGTGAATTAAGGGATTTAACAAACATTGGTACGATAAATACGGCATAATTATCTGTTATATATTTTATATTAGTTTGATAAAGACAATTGTTAGCTTATAAAAAAGGATGTTGTATAATTTTTAGATGTTTTTATGGTATCCAGAGAAGTAGAGAAATCTTTAGCAAATCATGAAACTTCAAGGTGTATCGGTTGGTGTCATGACAATCGATCTAAATTAAGAAAATTGGGTAGTACAATGGAATTTAATTTACGCGTACAAGAATTTATTGAATTAGTAAGAGCGGATAGAAGACTCGATGCTGTTAAACATGCCCGTAAATGTTTTGCAAATTATGACGATTATCAGTTACAAGAGATTCAATGTTGTATGGGACAACTGGCATTTCCTGCTAACTTTTATCTCAGTCCATATAAGGATTTATTAGATGAAAAAAGGTATATTGTTTTGTTGTACCTACATTATAATATATATATATGTAACTCAATGATATTTTTAGGTGGGATAGATTAATAGAACAATTTAGGCACGAGAATTATAGACTTTTTCAATTAGCCAGTCAAAGTGTATTTACAGTAGCATTACAAGCAGGATTGTCAGCATTAAAGACACCTCAATGCTATAGTGCAAACAAAGAAGGCAGAAATCCTAGTTGCCCTGTCTGTAATGAAGCGCTTAATGAATTGGCAGCTCCATTACCATTTGCTCATTGTTCTCAATCGAGACTTGTTTGTAGTATTAGTGGCAAACCGTTAAATGAATATAATCAACCAATGATGATGCCAAATGGATATGTTTACGGAGAACAAGTGAGTCAATCTAAAGCTATTCCTTTATATACAAAGATATATGAAGATATTCCCTTAAGCGCATATTCGTATAATAAATGTATTTTATCTTATAGGCTTTGGAAAAAATGGCGCAAGAAAATAATGGTATTGTAATTTGTCCAAAGACCAAAGAAGAATTTCCTTATAAAAAAATTGAGAAAGTATATGTTATGTAAAATGAATAGTTTAATCTTGAATTGTATGATACATAAAATGGGAGTTTTTGTGCAACAATAGGCATTTGTTTAGGTAGCGTTTATTTTTTTTTTTTTTTTTTTTTTATTTTTTTTTTTTTCTTTTTGTTGATATAAAAAATATATTGTTTTATGCTATGTAATAATATTACTAGAGGAAAATACAACCTCTTTTTACAAAAATATTTTTATACTGATTTAATATATCCAAAATATACATTAACAAAATATATACTTTGTGTGTATTGTGATTCTGAATAATATTATTTTAATGTAAATCTATTCATTTCTTTTTCGTTTTTTTTTTACGTGTTTATTTAATACACATTGTTATTATTCTACAGTACACATTTAAAGGTCTCAGGTAATTATATAACTTCGGTAATTAAGGCATAATATATATATATATATAATGTAATTCTGAATTTTATTACTATGTTACAGTAAATTACGCTTATATCATACACATTTCAAACATTTCGACACATCGATGAATCATTCTATGATAATCTCTAGTACCGAGGTGTCATTTTTAATATATAAATAATCATGAGTTTATATAAACGTATAAATAAACAACACTAACTATTATTAGAAACGATTACGAAATAAAATAATAATAATAATAATAATAATAATAATAATAATAATAATAATAATAATAATAATAATAATAATAATAATAATAATAATAATCGCTTATAAATTATATAAATTTTTATAAAAGAAAATGTTATCAAAGCCTGTTTTACCTTGATACTAGAAAATTACTAATCAAGTTTAATAATTACTTATTAAGATGTATTGTGTGTATACATCGAAATGATTACATTAATAATATATTCAATTATACAATTTTACGTGAGAGATTTAATGGAAATGCTTAACCTACATTTTTAATATTTATGATATGTATCAAAGAACGAATGAAATATTTTCACACATTCGAATTTTTATAAAAATATGTCCCTTTTTACATCAGATCAGTTTGCAGTTTTTTGTTTTCTTTTTTTTTCTGTTAGTTTTTGTTTTCAATTATTCAAATGATTGCATATTTTTTGTAATAATTTATTGTCTGCATTGATATACATACATGAAGGATTGTCCCTTTTAGGAATTCAAATTCTGTATTTTACAATAAGAATTTTTTATTATTAGATTGTATTATAACAATAGAATTATAACAAAGGCAAGTTATAATGCCTTATATTTTGAATGCGTGTAATAGATAAATAATGCTATTAAAGTGTAAAAACAGTATATATATATATATATATATACATATACATATACATATATATATATACATATATTAACAAATGCACACACACGTCTCATACAAGCATTACATTCGTCATTCATATATGCACGGAATAAAAATTGTAACTATATTTGTAATTCTGATAAATAGTATATCTTATGGGTTCTTTCTTTTTCTTTCTTTTTTTTTTTATTTTTTATTTTTTTTATTTTATTTCTTTTTTTTTTGTAAGGCGTGCAAGGTTGTAAATTCTATTTTTAAATATTAATAACGTGGTATGTAAGAAGCATGTGTTTAGAAATTGAAATTTCTTTTTTTTTTCTTATAATATACAAAGTAATATATTTATTACAACAAATTCAGCATGCAAACGAGAAAATTAATATACAAAGTATAAATATCTGTGCGATATCTATTTTATAGATAAAAAATTAAAATATTTATAATTAATTTAACTAAAATTTTAAATATAAATAATAACATTTTTTGATCTATTAATTTCATTGTACGTTTCCTTCTTCATTGAAAATATACTAAAAGGATCTAACAAATGATTAAAAAAAAAAAAACAAAAAAAAAATGATCTTACTATCTAATAATTAAAACAATCAGCCCAAATATCATTATTTTCATTTAGAAGTTATTCTGTAAAAAAAAAAAAAAACAAAAAAAAAACTAATATGTACGAGTATTTTAATTATAATTTAAATATAAATAATATATTGTAAATTTTTCTGTCTCTGCATCAATAATTATTTTTCCAATAATGTATCACTTCTAATTTTTATGAAAAAGATCTACAAAGTAGTATGTAAAGTATGAATTATTACATTTTCTTTGATACTTTTTTTTTTGTTTCAAAATGTATATTGTATAAGGTATTTAATTACGGTTATGAAAATAATGTAAATTTCTTAATCGATCATAATATTTGTAAAAATCATACAAATGTAAGATATGAATTGTTCATACAAAAAATGTATCTATCTATTAATAATTCCAATTTTTAATAATCACTTCTTGATGCATATTATCCAACATTATTGTCTGTTTCATTATGGATCATTTACTCATAGAATAATAAAGAGTCATGTAGACTCATTCGTATCAACTTTACTATGTTCTTACGTACTATGTTTGGTCGTTTATAATGGTTTAAAAAAAAACATAATTCATAAAGTTATATAAGAGCATATCTTTTTTGTATATTGATGTTAAATAATTTTCATTCGTGTATAACAAAAAAAAAAAAAAAAAAAAAAAAAAAAAAAAAAAAAAAAAAAAAAAAGAAAAAGAAACAACAATTAAAAAAATGACTATTAACAAAACAAAAGTAAAAATATAATGATATATACAAATACTTCAACCTTATGAGTAGTATTAACGTTCATATTACAAACTATAAATTTATTAATAATCAAATTTGTTCTATTTCATTTCCTAGCATGCATATACATAAGTAATATTTTAATAAAACATGTGTATGTGTAATTTTAGAGTACAAACAACAGCAGTTTAAATGCTCGTTCAAAATTTTTTTTCTGTTAATAATATATTGCTTCAGATCGTTTTTTTTTATTTTTAAAAAAGAAATTGTTTATTTGTTTGTTTTTTTTTTTATTTCTTTAAAGTAGAAAAAATTTACTTAAACTTAAGATGGTTATTGTTTTAATTTGATTTAAAATTGAAATATTTAATAACAAAATTTAAAGAATTCAATTGTGTGCTTACTCTCCAGCGGCTTATATTTAATTTAAGCGTTTCTGTAGAACCTAATATGATGCAATTTTCTTGTTAAAGCTGATTGGTCCAATTGATTAGGATATTTTGAACAAGTTACTCTATATTGAAATATTGTTTGCAATGATTGCCAAGAAATTCTGTACCTTTGATCTTTTTCATTTTTTCTAATCCATAAAAAAATTCTGATTGTGTAATAACGATCTTTGGCATTAATCGAAATCATTTGAAATAATCCCAGAGATATGAGGCATGTTCAGAGAAAGTTATTCGGGAAATATTCAATGTCCCCATGATATAATAACTGGCATAACAAAAGAAAACAAAATTCCACTAAAAATGCCAGTGACAAGTGAAGCTGCGCCAAACATACCGGCTATCGATGCGTATTGTGGTTCTACCATTCTAAAAATGAAACAAAAAAAGAACATAATTTATAATAAATGATTATTGCAATATTGTCGATTTGAAAATTTCATCAAAAAAAATATGTTTTCTCTTACCTAGGGCAATACATCATTGAGATTGAGGAAAAATAACCATGAGAGATACCCATTGTAATGCCAATAATCAAATATGCCCAATCATTGTCAATAAACACTGGCAAATATCTCTTTGTTTCTGCTGGATAATAATTACAGAATAGAAACACTGGTATATAGAATATCCGTAACATATTTGGAATTATCAGATACTTTTCACTGGGCTAAATGAAACAAAAGAGAGAGAAAGAGAGAGAAAAAAAAGGAACACTTAAGTCTCAAATGTCAATAATAGTAAAATATAATAAGCAATAGAATATTTATATACCCATTGAACGATAGATGCTATGGAACTACCAATCATAGCGGTAACGTTGAAAGTCAGAAAGCACATAATGCTAACATAAAAATCAAGTGGAACTATGAATTCTGCACTTGAACGTTTTATATCAGATTGAACAGATGGGAATAAAGCAAGAGTAACGAAAAAGACAATAAATATGTTAAAAAGCTGAGAAGAACACTGCAAAACTATTTTCCAATAAGGTAGCTCTTCTTTCTTCCCTCTTGTACTATTCTCCAGTTGTCTTTTATTTAACTCTTTTTGATGAAGTAATTCGTGATATCTATAAAATCTCTTTAAAACAATGACAAAATTAATAATATGTTATTCTGTTATTCTTTTTTTTTTCTTTTTTTTTTTTTTTTTTTTTTTTTTCCCATTCGAAATAAATCTATAAGATATAAAAAATTCTTACATTTAATGGAAGAGCAAAATAAGTGTCAAAACAGGCTAGAAGAATAAATAAAGCCGTTATAAAGTAATAGATAGCAGCAGTCCGTGCATTTGGTGCCATAATTTGAGAAATAAGATTAATCACAGCTGTGAATGTTCCACTTATATTCTGTAAAAATGATAATTAAGATAAAGATAACATTTATTTGCTAAATATTCATTTAACATAAAATAATTGTTATAATATTTATAATTACCGAGCCCAAAATAACAGCTCCCGTATATTTACCAGGAAGTTTAGCAGCCATTCCAAATACCGAATTTTGATAAATCCCATTAGCAACTGAAGAAATTTATTACATAAATGTCCTTATTTCTAAGTAATTATTAATATATAATTGCATCTGTTGTAAACAAGAGATCTTACTGTTTAATATTATAACAGAAATCATAGTAATCCAGAAGAAAATTCCAGGCCATTGAGAAGTGTCCATCATTGCCAATATAACGGTAAATAAAAATATTAAAATTTGTACAAAGATGCCCCATGCTATACGTGTTGTCAAATTTCCTCTATAGATAAGATAAAAGTAATCATACAAATTAATATTCTCTCACAATACATATTTTTTTTTCTTATATAAAGACAGTTATATATCCTATTCATAAATATATATACAAGATTGAGAGTTATATATTATAAAATATATACATACCTGAGTTTTATAAATATATTTAACCAATTAAATAACAAGTTTGGGATTTGCGAGGCAAATCCCAGATATGACAAAAAATTTGTTGAATAATTAGACTCAATTTCTGTGTATTCTTTGGATAACTTATAATTGACAAAATACTGTAAAAATAAAAAATTTTGCTCAGACAAATAAATCATCAAATAAACTTATGATAATAATAATAGTAATTAAAAAAAAAAAAAATAAATAAATAAATAAATAAATAAAAAAAAATAAAAAATTAAAAAATAAAAAATACTCAAATAAATAATCCTTACATCTTTTGCTGTTATAAACATATTCCATGGCATTAGAATACCAATTCCATGAAGTATTAGTATCGAAAATACTAAATTTAATCTAAAAAAATTTTAATAAAATATTTGTATTATTTTTGTATATATCAAATATTTTAACTTACACTATAAATCTACCTGTCACGCGGAGGATTTATTTCTAAATCAGCTTGATCCATTGTTACACCTTTAAAGTTTAATTCGTCATCAGGTCTTCCGGTTCCTTCCCAACCTGGTGAAAGACGTACAGGTTCACTTCCTACAATAACAAATTAATTATTTCTATAAACTTTTTTTCTTAATAGAACAATGATGATTATTTTATCAATCTAATAATATGTAGACATACAAAATTGTACTACTATAAAATAAAATTAATTATAATTTTTAACACACTTTATTTATATAATTTAATCTTCAAACTTAATATTATTACAATATCATTAATGATAAAATAAAAAAAAAGAAAAAAAAAAAGGAAACAACTGACCGATTAAATAGTATAAATTTTTATTAAATTTTGTACCGATACATTGAAGATAATTATTTGCTTATATCAATAAATTGTTATACATTATCACAATGGATTTTGATCAAATTCAACGGAAATAACAGTACAAGTTTATTTTAAAAGAAACATGCTTATTTCTTCTACTTCTATACAATCTAACAAATAATAAAGTGCACTCCAAAAGTATATTGGATAAAATACCCAATGAAAAAGACTTGCAAGCAGATTCTGTTGAAACTTTATTGAAGATCCGTACCAAAACCGGTTCAAGTAATTCTGCCCTTATAAAAATAAATAAAAAAGAATATGATTCTTGGAAGAGAGAGAAAGAATAACTCCTTTTAAGTTGTACCTTTTAAGTTACAAAGATAAAATGACGAACATTGTAATCATGCAATGATACAATTTTTATATGATCATAAATATAACATACCTTTTGCAGGGACGATTTTTATTCCGCTTGAATCTTTTAAAAGAGTTTGTTCTTCTGGACCCGCGCCAATTTCTTTCTTCGTATAACTACCCGCCATTTTTTTGGTATGATTTCAAACTTAAATTGATTTAAAAAGTAGACACGCAATGCATCTCAAATGATAATCAATAGATAAATAATATATCGTTTTGTTTTTAACAAGCACAACGTGATCTTTGTGAATAAAATTTTTTATAAAAAATTGTACAGTTACTATTTCAACGCCATGTGCGATTCAATGCATATTACATTCGTTGAATTCCTCCGTGTTGACTTTTAAAAGTGAAAACTTTACTTACTCTTAGTCCTTAAAGTTTTTATGATAATGAACAAATACAAATCTAAAAGATTAGAATACAATATGGTAAAAGACGTTGATACGCGGGATAAATCATTTTCCTATCTAATTTTTAAAGGTTAATTCTAGTAGGATTCTAAATTCATTCCACGCCTACGCATCATATTAGATTTTTCCATTAGATGGCGAACTGATCGAGTGCAGCGTACATCCAGGACCGTATTTCGAAAAGTCCATCTCGACAGCGGCATCATAATACCATACAAATTTGAAAATTAAAATATATATATATATAAAATATTTTAATATGTGATTTAAAATAAATTTAAATGTGTGATTTTTAGTGTAATTCCTTTTTTCATACTGGATTATATTATTATTTATACCTTTTTAATAGTTCATCATGCACATTCATTTTTATTTATCTATTAAGACCAAGTTTCACTTTGATAACGATTATTCTTTTCTAATTGTTCTATAAAATTTACAGCTTGCTCGTACGTCAATTTCCCATTCTCTTTTACTAAATCAATAAATTCTTCACGAACGTTATTCGGCATATTTTTCGAATTTCCCGCCAAATAAATATTGGCGCCATTTTGAAGAAATTCCCAACATAAAAAATTATTTTCACGTATAATATGTTGAACATATCTGAAATATGAATAGAAAATAATAAAATACGTTCTGTAATTATTTTTATAATTAATAATATAAGCACGTGCTTACATTTTATGTTCTTGATCTCTAGAAAATGCACAAAATAATTTTAAACCAGTTGTGCTGGTTAAATTAATAAAATCTTCTTTAAAATGATAATCTTTGTCTTTATATCTACATCCAAAAAATAATAAGCACGTGGTAAGATCTTGTTTCGTGGCAGCTTTCTCTAAAAGTAACGATCTAAATGGTGCAATGCCTGTACCAGGTCCAATGAGAATTTTTGGCACATTGGACGGAAATATAAAAGTTCCTTTACGTATCCAAAAAATGATTTTACTTTTAACTTTTAAATTTGCTAGCCAATTCGAACATAGACCTAATCTACGCTCTATTAGTTTTGTTTTATAATTAACAACGGCAACTAATATGTGTATTTCATTTTTTGTATTTATCGCGCTCGATGCGATACTGAAAGCACGTGGCTTTATTGGTGACATGATTTCAAATAATATTTGTATATTTAATTTACTCGTGGTATGAGGAAAGTCTGCTAAAACTTCTATGATATTTCTTCGTGGTCTATTTACATAATCATATAATTCTTCTTGACCACTGGGCATTGTAAATTCGTGAAGCTTTTCTTTTTCCAAATCATTATCACTAATTTGATATAATATTTCGAATGTAGATCTTCGTGGTTTGTAATTCAAATCCCAATACTGTGCAACAATTTCACCTAGGGTTAAAGTTTGTTTTAAAACGTACGGTACTTTTATTTGTCTTTCAGACACCTGAACAATCATATCAGGATAAATTAAAATGTTATTATCGTTCAATACATTAAAGAATTTCTCAATCTGTTTCAAAGAATTCTTTGGTCTTACATAAATTATATCTCCTGGTTCATATATAATATCTTCTCTTTGAATTTTAATTAATCTAACATCTTGAAAATGATCTGCGGCAGTGGTTCTTGCATTTTCAATTATAACACCTATTTTCATTTCATCTTTTATATTCATTTCTTCTTTATAAATATCAGTCTCTAAATAACAAGCTATTTCTGTTAGTGATTTTTCTTTACTGCCATTAACTATAGAAATATTATATCTTTCAATTATTCCTTCAATATTATTAGATACATTTATATCAGGGATATTATATATAAGCCCAATCTTTTCCCACAATTTCTGTACCCAGGGACTAACAACAGCATCTATACCTAAGTCATGTTGATCATCAGCTAAACCTATCGGTAACAATTGTATTCCACCAAGCTGTGCTAGCCTTTTATTAAGCTTTTTCGCAGCAAAATTAAATTTTTTATATGAACTATCACCAAGACCAATAACACCATATCGAATATTATTAAGCATAGAAGGAGGAAGGCTTTTGCGTAATAAAAATCTCCAGAATTGTTTCATATTATCAGGAGGATCACCTTGTCCTGTTGTCGCAATAACGAAAACCATTAAATGTTCAGAATCAAAATTAGCTAAATCATAATCATCTAATGTGGATATTGTGCTGTACAATCCTTTCCTGTAATTAAAATGAAAACTCTAAACAAATATTCCCGTCTCATAACATACGTGTAATAAAAATAATCAAGATTAATCGTCTTGTTATTAAATAAAATCCTTTTTCTTTCCTTCCTTTTTCTTTCCTTTCTTTTTGTTTCTTTTTTTTTTTTTCTTTTCTTTTTACAAAAAATAAATTACCGAAGAAAGACAACAAAACCTTTTGGCACTTTTCCAGATTTGTTCCGCCACATCTTGAGCAGTTCCGGTTTCGCTAGCATACAATATAGTTATGCTAAAATCCATTGTGTAAAGTTGTTATGCCAACAACGAAAAAAGATTTTTCGATTTTGTGGCCTGCCAACAAGCCGATACGCGACACTTTAACGAACCCCGCGACGTGGTCTTTCTTAGACAGCTGATAATTTATGACGTCACTATTCATTCATCTGAAGATGGGCTCAGATGTTTGATACAGATTTTGCCCGATTATCACAGAGAAAGATTAGATACTTTTTATTTGACGAACAACATGTATTTATATTATCAAACGAATAAACATGAATTTTTGACTCGATTAAATGTCAAGGATAAACGTTTAGGCTGAGAATCCTGCATTTTGGCACGGGGCCTGAGTATTTATAAATAAAAAATATTCTTCGCGTGTTCGTCGCATGAACGAATCATTCGACGACGTCGTCGGAGGGGCAGAGAGCGAGAGAGAGAGAGCGGAGAGAGAGAGAGAGAGAGAGAGAGAGAGAACGAATGAGTAAGTGGGGGGTGGGGAAGTAGAGTTGGCAAATTTCGCGCGTCTTTCTCACTTTCTTTTTTTTTCTTTCTTTCTTTCTTTCTTTTTTCTATCTTCTCTATCTTTCTCTCTTACTTCTCAACGCTGTTTACCAACGGACGATCTCAAATATTAAATATTAGTTTTCAAGGACGTATACGTAGTGAATTGTGTACGAGGATTGCAAAGGTCAAGAAGAACCTACGAAAAATGATAAAAAATGATAAGGAGCGAGAGAAAGAAGGTAGATAAGATCAATATATTTAAATAATTATATACATATATATATACATACATACATACATACATACATCATACATACATACATACATACATATGTACATACATACATACATACAATATATATATATATATATACATTTATAAACAAATAGATTAATAAAAAAAAAGAGTGAGAAAGAGAGAGGGAGGGTGGGAGGGAGAAAGAGAGAAAGAGAGAAAAATAGAAAGAAATAAGAAAGATGAGGTTAGAAAGATCATCGGTTTTGCGTATTCGCTGTGTCGTATCCGTGACGTAACAGAGCGGAACGTCGTTTCTTCATTGTATGCACATATTATGCTGGCAAAGCCGAGCGAACCGTGTTGGCAGCACTGATGTCTGTTTGCGGATGACTGTCAAAACCTACTTTCTCGACGAAGTCCACAGCTTTTCGTGTCGGAACGAAAGAAGACACGATGAATTTATCCAATTCGTAGAACAAGAAGTGTCGTGGGCCACGGTGTCGCATGGAAGAGCGTTCCTTTATATGAAAAGAGTGAGTGAGTGCAAGCCCCGACCTTTGTTGTTCTCGTTTACTTCGTCTCAAGTCCATCCATCGCTCGATGGGTGTTGGGCCATCGTGTCTTCTTCGGCGGAAAGGAAAACGGCACCGATTCGAACGCGAGGAGAAAAGTTTAAAACTTTCGCCCTCGCGTTTATCGACGCGCGAATCTCTCTTAACCTCTATTATTATTATCCTTTGTTAAATCCGCTTACAGTGGAGTGTTGGAGGTAGTGCATGAGACTTCAAGTTCTGTCATCTTCTACTCGCATCCAACCCCTTTTTTTTACGAGAACCAGCTGATTGGAAAGCATTATTCAATGGAACTTCTATACGCCTGACAGCCATCCTTTGAACATCGACGCATTATTCCCACCAGGTACTTTAATCTTTTAATTAAAGTAAAGAATCATCTATCTTTTCTATTGCATTCCAATTTGCAAAACTTTTTTTCAACTTTAAGATATTGAAATCTAATATCATCTTCTATATTATATTATTTTGCGTTTTAATATTTCTTTTAAACCTTATAGTAATTATTTTTCTTCTTCTTCTTCTTTTTTTTTTTCAGACATTGACAGTCAATATCTTCGCAACAATTTTTGTTCCATAAATTTCAATCAAAATGCTTGCCCCATGACCAAAAGATTATTATGTAAAAAGTACAAGACAACCATATCTGCCAAAGCAAGTTGAATTCTATACTATATGCTGTGAAGTGTAGTTTATTGCTATGTTACTAAATATCATAAGTTTATATTCTGTTTATTATTATGATCGATACTGTTGTAAAACTGTGTGAAAATATTTAAATTAAATATTGATAAAATATTGTGTATGGTAGAGGTACAGAGTTCTCCCAATCAAGAATTATTCATTGAAGATGAATAACAGACTTGAAGAGGCAGAGTCAAAATGGACTTGTGAATATTGTACGTATGAGAATTGGCCTTCATCTTTGAAATGCACAATGTGTAGAGGTGCCAAGCCTTTATTGGGTGAAGATATTTATCGCTTACGTAATACAAGTCCACAAAGGTCAGGATCAAATGTTGCTTCTGGCCCTGTATCTCATATAAGTCCAACAGATCCATATAATCTAACCTCTCAGAACTATAGTCACAATGTACCAGCTGGAGGAATGTGGTCATGTGGCATATGTACGTATCTCAATTATCAAAATGCCTCGCGCTGTGTTCAATGCAGTAATAAGAAACCTGGTGGACATAACCAATCAATACACTCTATAGCTTCCAATTTACACGAGCATCTAGCACCACTTAGATTAGGAGATCCTCCATCTAATTTAGGCTCAAATTCTCAAGTAAATCCACCAGCAATAAATTTGCATCCTGAAAGGTACTATAATGTACAGACGAATGCACATCCAGAAAAATGGTCCTGTCTTGTATGTACTTATGAAAATTGGCCAAAAGCTACAAAATGTGTTATGTGTTTTCATCCAAAAGAAAAAGATAAAAGAGAAAGATCTGCAACAAATGTAGGATTAATTTTACCAAGTCCTGAGAGAGATCATAATCAACGTGGTTTACCATCTCCGCCTCATGCACCTTATATTCATCAAACGCAACGAGAGGAGAATTCTGCAATTGCAAGAAGGTGGTTGCTTTAGCTTTTATCTTTATTACTCAGATCTTTTTAATACGATTAAAATATATCTGATTAATGACATAGCACAAAATGTGTTGCTTTTTACAGAAGTTCACACAGATTTACTGATAGTAGAAATGACAGTTTATCAACACCACAGTCTCCTAATAATTGTGATTATGAGCGTAGATTGAAACAGTTAAGACGTCATACCGATTGGTGCTGGTTAAATGCATGTCTTGGTATTGTTGAAGGCGATAATGCACCTGTTGAAGCATATTTAGCAAGTGGTGGTGATCCAGCTCGTCAATTAACACATTCTGAAGTACTACTGTTAAACAGAAGTAGTGCTTTCGATGTTGGACACACTTTAGTACATTTGGCAATCAGGTTTGTTTTCTTCTCTGTCTTACAAATAGAAAATTTCATAAAATCAATATCTCACTTTTTTTCTTTTCTTTTTTTATTTTTTTTATTTATAGATTTCAACGAGAAGATATTTTGGCCACATTATTATCACAAATTGAAGGTTCTGGTTCTGGTATAAAAAGAGTACCTAGTTACGTAGCACCTGATTTGGCTGCTCAAATACGTAGGCATGTAATGAACAATATTCGTTTACGCAAGGGTTCTTTCTCTTGTTATTTTGTTACTGATATGGCTACATTTGCACTGCCTGCAGAGGTTATTATAAAATTATAATTTTCTTTTTAAACAATAATGTTCTATCAAAGTAATATATATATATATATATATAAAAAAAATATTATTTATGTTCAAAGGTGGAAGATTTACCAAGTATAGTGCAAGAACAAATGTTAGGAGAATTATTAGATAAAGAAGCTCAACAACAGCTAGAAGGAGGTGGTGGTGAGCCACCTGCATTAAATTGGTCCTTAGAAATTACAGAACGATTAGGCAGTCGTTTGCACGCACTTTGGAATAGATCTGCTGGAGATTGTTTGTTAGATTCTGCTATGCAAGCAACATGGGGTGTTTTTGATAGGGATAATGCTTTAAGAAGAGCTCTCGCCGATTCTTTACAGCAAGCAGGACAATTGTAAGTAATTATTATGATGAATTTAATATGAACTTAAAAATTTTTTTAAATACGTTTTCTTATCATTAAGAAAATCCATTATTAATATCTGCATCTTTTCTAATATAATTATTACTTTAGTTTTTATCCACGATGGAGAGAGTACGAGGCATCACAGGCTTCAAGAATGTTAGATTTTACATTAGAAGAAACACAATGGCAAGAAGATTGGGAAAGTTTATTAGCAACAGCTGCTCAACCCGGCAGTGCCCTAGAACAATTACATGTTTTTGCACTTGCTCATATATTAAGAAGACCTATTATTGTTTATGGCGTTAAATATGTTAAAAGTTTTCGTGGGGAAGATATAGGTAAGAAATTACTTTAAAACAAAACTTATCTCCTTTGGTATTCTAATACGTGCGTTATTTTTTTTTTCAATCGGACAGGTTATGCAAGGTTTGAGGGCGTTTATCTTCCACTTTTATGGGAACCTTCATTTTGTATTCGTTCTCCTATAGCATTGGGTTATACACGTGGTCATTTTACTGCTTTGGTTCCCATAGAACCATATGCATCCTCTAGAATACCACCGATTTCTTCTCATGGTGGAGGGAATGGTCCATTGCAACAATTGCAAATACAAATGCAAACCACTTTTATGCCATTAATGGACAGAGAACATAAATTATTACCAATTCATTTTTTGAGTCCAGACGAAATTGGACGAGAAGAATCTATTTTAAAAGACTGGCTTGACGTTTGTAGAACGGAAGGTGGTATTCTCGTTGCACAGCAAAAATTACACAAGAGGCCATTGCTTGTTGCACAAATGTTAGAAGAATGGCTGAATCATTATCGTAGACTTGTGTAAGTAAAATCTTAAGAATAATATCATGTTTGAAAGTTAAAACCTGTTCAATGATATTATTTTATTTATTTTTCAGTCAAACGAATAATGCACCATTTTCAAGACCAGTTGCTTTACAAGATTATAGTAGCGATGGTGATACAGAAGACGAATAATAAAATCCAGGCACTTGATCAATAACGAGAATGTCCTTTTTCTATAATTTCGATACCAACGCATCTAGAATTATAACGCAAGATCTATATGATCTGAAGTTTATAAAAATATTTGAAGAAAAAAAATTTGACTTAATATCATAATAGCATGCACAATGTTATATGGATACGATCGTTTCACAATATCTTTCTACTCTATAAAATTTTCTGATTCTCTATTTAATTAATCTTTGTTATAACAATAGTTAATTGAGGATGCTCTTGGATTTATCAAGACGTTGCAAAAAGAAATTACTTATAAGTGTGATATAGTATATATCGTCAATTACAAAATTAAGGTTTTACAGTGATATTATCATTTGCACAATTTCGCATAGTGTAGTATAAAAACTTCAATGAATTATTCAAGAATATTATATAAAAACGAAACTATGGATCAAGGATAATCTCGTTTTCTTTTTTCTTTTCTCTTTCTCTCTATTTTTTTTTTTTTTTTTCTTTTTTTTTTTTTTTTTTTTTTTGGAGTAGTGTCCTATCAATAATAATGTTAATACCTAAAAGTCATAGCCATAAATCTGATATATGTTTACAAATTTACAAAACCATCTTTCTCTTCATCGGAGTGTATATAAAAAGAAACATTTGATGGTTCTAATACAGACCATGTGATCATTAATTAAAGCTAGTATTACAAAAAGAAAAATTCATGTGTATAGCTGTCTTTGAATCAAGTTAACTATGAAGCTGCGTTAACGATGAAGCTGGATACAACGACATGTTTCTTCAGTGAGAGAGACAGGGTAAAACGTTGTGTTTCTTTCTATGGTTGCTCCTGGTGTGTTAACGCAATGTGATACCAATTGAAAACTGTACTTTTCTCCGTATGTAAAACTTGTGAGCGTGAATGAATTAATTATAATATAGTAGTGTCGCAATGATTAAGACAGTTTAACGTTACTGATAGTAGAGAGCTTTTTTAAAGCGATAAGGACTAAAAAGAAACAAAAGTAGTTCTACTTAAGGATTAAGATTATATCTGGTAAACACACCAATGATATATGATGTATTTGCAGATAATGAGCAAAGATTTACGATATATTTGGCTTGGCCAAACGATTAACCCTAATCAAAAAGTACAAAAAATCGTAAAAGGAAAAGTCATTTCTTTATAAATGTTAAACTATTCGCTTAAATTTAGTCTTCGTTTTTACTAATCCTAATGTAGTGTCTAGTCCTTTTAGCACTGTCATTTTTCTAATCGCACCGTGACGTGTGTGATCTACCCCACTATGTTATTATGGGAAAAGGTATGATACGTTTGAAAGACACATAAAATGTGTCCAATATTTGAATATTAATAAGGAGTATGTGTCCTGTTTCGTAAAAGTAAAAAATGGAAGAAGAGTTATGTTCATTTTTTTTTTTTCTAATCGCGATGATATTAACTTCCTTTATTAGATAACAAAAAAAAAACGTTACATTTTCTTCTTAACTTTGTGCCGTTCCGCGCAGCATTCTCCACGTGACGTGATTTGAAATATTAATAATGATGCTGTGCCGTTATATTTCATTTTCGATAAGTGTTTTTTGCTCGTTGCCAGGATTTATAAGGCAAGTGATAAATATAAAGTTTTAAAAATTTAATCGATGCAAATAGAATTCTATATTAATATAGAGTATATATTATATAGATTATATTAAATAATATATCGATGTACAATAATTCTAAATAATGATTTATTATTATGATCATGGCATCGTTATCATCATTATCGTTGTCATAATCATAATATTGTCATTATTTATCATCGTCGTCACCATCATCATTATCGTCATTATCATCATCATCATCATCATCATCATCATCCTCATTATTATTATCATTATTATCATTATCATTATTATTATTATTATTATTATTATTATTATTATTATTATTATTATTATTATTATTATTATTATTATTATTATTACTGCTGCTATTCTATTATTATTATTATTATTATTATTATTATTATTACCATCATCACTACTATTACTACTATTACTACTACTATTACTACAAAGATTATACGAGTCGTAATAAGAAATATTGAGTTAAATCAATAAAAACAGAGGTTCTATTCTCGATTTCATGCGGATTTGTTTGGTATTAGATTTTTATTTATTTATTATATATATATTTTTTAAATTTGTTATGATATGTCCTAATTGATATATTACATAAATGTATGCATGTGTGGTTGGTGTACATAAAATAGTTAGTTGCATGAATTTGAGAATAGGTATACTCTGGCCCATTTAATACCTCTTAAAAAAAAAAAAAAAAAAAAAAAAAAAAGATTAATCCTGATCTTCAATCATGCTACTAAAAATGCAATTTCTTATAGCTTCCACATTTAAAAATAATGACTCTCTATTTATATAATTATGTTAATTTATCAATAGTTATAACCGTTCATAGATTATTACAAAGTCTATAAACATACTTAAATATTTGTAAAAAAAAAAAAAAAAATCACAAAATATATATATATATTATTTTCTTGAAAAATTTATTCGATCGTGATAATTATTACAATAAATTATTATGTTTCTCTCAGAGAGAACATAATTTCATACAATCAATACATATTTAATGTTAATTCTGCCAATGATGGAAGACTCATTGTAATGAGAGGTTGATTAATAAGACAAAGATGACATAAAATGAATACATACTACAGACAAAAAAAAACAAAGAACATGGAATGTACAATTTACATTGAAATTGAATCACTTACTACATATATGGGGAATTCAGTTTTTTTTTCAGCATGTTAATTGACATTACACTTTTACAGAGAATTCCAGGCATGAGCAAAAATGCACTTTTTTTTTTTTTTCTTTATAAATATAAAAAAATTTTATTTGTGATACGTGTAGTAAATTATTAATTTTCTTACGAATAGATATGTAAAGAAGAAACACTGATAGAAAAAATTTAATTTAAAGTTAGGTATAAAAAAATATTAAAACAATAAGGATTATGTTACAAGGATTAATGCTGTATATAAATGCATCATTTTTCTTTTTTGTTTGTTTGTTTTTCTTTTTTTTTTTCTCTTTTTTTTTTTCTAGGAAGTTTACATAAATTTATGTAATTGGCTTTCTTGGAAGGAACGCCTATATCATGGAAAAATACAGTTTATGCAATACAGACATACTTTCAATGTGATTTTTATAAAATGATATTTCCAAATAACTTTTGGTCCAAGTAGTTGACAAACATAATACTATATTTCTCCATAATTCAAGCATCGATATTTCGAAAACTTAATATATTTAAAAGAGACCACCTGCAGATTGATTTTCAGTGATACATACAATACTGAAACATATTGTAGCTGAAAAGCAAAATATTATAGGCAATTTAACATTTTTTTTCCTTTTTTTCTTTTTCTTTTTCTTTTTTTATAAAACATACGCTATTGAGAATTATTACGTTATACATAATGAAATGTAACGTATTCTTGTTCTGAAAAAGCATACCTGACAGACTGAGTACAGCATCATTAAAAAAAGATTTCATTGATATTTCATGATTACAATTCATCTTTCTCATCCAAATTTATATCACTAAGATCGATTTCTTCTTCTTGCGGTGGTTCAGCATCTTTACCGTCCCAAGGTGTAATTTCAAGTATAGAAGGTAACTGAGCTCCTTTCAAAGGAGCAGTTCCACCACGTCCATAACTTAAATCTCTTAAGAATTCATTTATTCCATCGTAGGAAAAACTTCCCTTCAACAGAGAATACTTCATTTTTTTAATATTTACTGCCGCTAAAGCAGGATAACCAAATCCCCCAATTTCTAATGCATCTTCTATGTTCGATTGAGCTCCTGCCTCTGACCAAACCCACCTATAAAATCAATTGTAATATAACAATGAAATTTTCATAAAAAATATTCGGCAAGGATACATACCCCCACATTTTCTTTTTGTAATTTTCTCCAAGATCACTTAAAACTTTTAAGTACTGATTTCTACATTCTGACTGACAATCTAATATATGCGGTAACACTGAAACTACACAAAGTGGTTTATCTTCGCATGCACTTCTTAAACTTTTTTCATTAACAATTTGAACTACTTCGGGTGCTGGTATATTTTCAGCCAGTTTATCCAAAGCCCAGTTAACAATATCAGTGCTAGTACGACCACCATCATATTCCTGTACCGAGTCAGCACTTTTCTTGCCTAACGGGAAATATTTAATGGTTGGATATCCCACTATTTCATATAGACTCGCCTGTAATTTAATATATTTATAAAATATAATGAAAATTACGTATGAAGTTAAGGATACGTATGAAGAAAATAATTTACTTTGACTCTATGTGCAGTTGCATCGAGAGCTCCTAATTTTACTTTGCCTTTAAGTTCTGTAGCTGCAGAAGCCCAGACAGGTGCCAAATTTTTGCAATGTCCACACCATGGAGCATAAAATTCAACCAACCACATATCTTCTGAATTTAATACTAATTTGTCAAAATTCTCGTCAGTTAATTCGATTACATCCTTGGAATCTTTAGTTTGCTATACATTTTAAAATGATCATTATGAGTATTTAAAGTTTTGTTTAAATGTGTTTGTACGTGCGTGTATATATACATATATATATATATATATATATATATGAGAATAAAGAAATATATCACTTACTTTATTACCACTACCACCTTTTTTGACACCTAATTTTGCATATGCTTTCTGAGAAACTGCATTTGTAGCAGCATCAATGAGACCAGCTGCTGTACGAGGTCCATTGAAATCTTCGGGTTTATTTTTATCATGACCAAAAATTTTAACTGTTGGAAAACCACGTACACCAAATCTAGATCCAAGAGATTTATGTTCATCCGCATTTATAGCTCCTAGTTTTGCGATTCCCTAATGTAAAAATATAAAAGTAAACAATGTTTGTCAAATTATTGTTTACAACAATTTACCTTTAAAGCCGTTGCAGCTTTGTCATATTCTGGTACAAATTGTTGACAATGTCCGCACCATGGTGCATAAAATTCCACAATCCACACATGTTCACTGTCTATTACTGAACTATCAAAATTATTTGGTTTGAGATCAATGACATCCGAATTCGAAGAATACAAACAATATGCATCAGTAATTAATATTAACAGTCCTGAAATAATAATATTTTATTTGGAAATAAGTATTAATAATGACTTAGATAAATTTCAAATTTGACATGCATTTACGAACACCATCATAATTAATTACTTTATAAATCGATACTGATTCAGTTTTCTCGCATTATATTATGTACATCATTCAAATGAAATAGAAATTAATGTATTCTTATAGAGTAAAGAAAAAATAATATCCCATAATGTACGATGGTAGATTGATAAGCCGGTACATTAAGTATATGCAACGAGTTAAAAATCATTGAAACTTACCTAAAAGAATCTGCATTTTTCTTAGCGATTCAATAGCTGTTTAGAAATTCTTTTAAAAAAAAAAAATTATCTTTCACTACAATTCATTAAGTATACAACTGAATCGTAACGTGTCGTTTATCCATATAAAGTAAGATCGTTCTTTTCGTTCGCGGTTAGGTCTCCTCGCCTACTGCTTTTCGTGGACAATTCTGATTGGTTCATGATTATCAAAAAGAATAAAATACAATGTTATTTACAATTTTTCTCTCAAAACAGATCAAAATCAATCGTAAATCATAAAATAAATTTATTTAATTAAAATTATATATTACAATAAATTTCGTTCTACTTTTTAATGTTATAATTAATTTACACATATATTATATTCATTTGGAAAATGCAGTTTGATAAGAATCAAATATACTTGATGTATAAATCCTACGAATCTTATTGGTCGATGATGTAAAAGCGTGTGGAAAAAAAAACTAAAAGAAGAACTACAATATTATGAAATATTTTAATGAAATATTTTCATCAGATCTTGATTTATAACGACAATAAATAAAACTATAATTCTTGAACGATTTTGATGATTGAAATCTCATTTTAAAGATGAAGTTATAATTGAGAACATGACCTTATCGAATTTTTAAAAAAGCATTGTTTTCTGATAGTACGATCGCGTCTAAAAAAATACGATGGCTTTTCGAGAATAGCTTGACACACAAAAATAAAGCTTTTTCAAAAATTCGAAAAAATTATATTCTCGCATGAAAAACCTTCATCTTTAAAATGAGATATTGTACATCAAAATTGGCCAAGAATTATTACTCTTAGACTCGCTGTTGGTATAAACGTTGTTTTCGTCATATTTTGTGAAGAGAAAGTTTTCTATAATGACGTCCATCGAAATAAGTGGCAAAAGAGAAACCTCGCATTCACACTATTGATTTCCATATCACGTTGAATGGGGTATATTTGTTTCATGAAGTAGCTGTTTGTTTGTGTACATAAATGATATACAGATTTTATGAATCATTTCAAACAAAAAGAAATGCATTTTACGATGATCGTACGGAAAAGTTTACTTGGTTCACTCTTTGAACAAATGTATCTATGGAAAAAAAATGAAGAAATAAGGGAAACACATTTAACAATAAATTAATATTTAAACAATAGTACATTCACTTAAACGCATTACGAAAATCGAAACGTGCGAGAAACTTAAAATAATTTGATTTTATAAATTTTATATTTAAAAATTTTAATCTCAGAATAATTTATCTTGTATAATATAAACAATTTAATATAATAACTTTGACAATTACCGAATTAATTTTCTCCGACACAGTGCACATTGAGACTCTTTCTAAACTTGTAAACTTATAAATTAATATTTTCGATAATTTTTATACATTTCTTTCTCTCATATGTAAATCGTTTTGTGATAGTAATGTCCGTCTTGAAGTTATACGTTCTAGATACGACATCGGTATGTATTTGTTTCACGATAAAAGCATAAATATTAATAAATATAATTAACACATGATAATTAATATATAAATTTGCGAATTTAATATAATATAAATTAGAAGTTAAGTGGACTGGAATTAACGAAGTGAGAAAAGTTCTAAACACTTTTGAAGAGTTACTTGTGCGAACGATAATTATGTAGCACATTAATAAGAACGAACAGGAAAGTTCCCGATCGTCCTTTGATTGTTTATATTTGTTTTTGCCAATATGGATATTTACTTTCTAAATTTTCGTAATAATATGTATACAAAAACATACATTGCATTTTTCTACTTTCTAGAGATTGGAAATTTGTAAACATTAGTGAAGGAATTTTTAAGGCATTATCTATATCTTAATACTATCTCTTTCTCTCTCTCTCTCTCTTTCTCTCCATTAAGAGCATCGCTGTATTTATTTAAAAACATAGATTTACGTGCGATTAACAGGAACATTAGCATTTCAAATATTATTTCTAGCGTAGTACGTAATTTTCTTAATTTGTACGCTACTTGGAAAGCTAAAAAATATTAAATCGATATTATTAGAGTAGAAAATTAATTGTATGCGAATATATATGCGTGCAGGAGTTAATGATATTTGTCTGTAAAAAAAGATACCTATATAATCGAACATGACTAATTAACGAAGAACTATTAGAATATCATTAAAGTGCGAGAAAAGTATCGATATCGCGAAAATAAAGCTAAAAAATTTGAGAAATAAGTATGACGTTGTATCTCTACCATAGGAGAAACCAAAATCCTGATTTTATTTTCGTGTGTACCTTTTAAACAAGACAATGCCACAACTTGCAAACATATATTCGTAAAAATCGCATTTTGAGAAATTGATTGATATGTAAAATAAAAATATACGTGAAAAAAGAATATATTAATAACCTATAATTAACGAGACGACGAATGTCTCCTTTAACTGATACAACAAAACAATTCAAAATGACAGAATTGCCAACTACAAGAGGACTAAATGGATTTAAGCGCATGCGCAATACACCACTTGTCCTCTCCACCCGCCATTTTGCGAAGAATTTAATTTTTCGATTTATTATATGAAAATATAGAAATGTTAAAAATATGAAATATAAGAATTTAGAACTAGTTAAATACTATGTTAGTCTAAACTTGTAAAATTAATGATTAAAATTCGATAGTTATATAAATATAACTTAAAACCACGAGAAAATGTTTATGTAAATGATAGATGATTGACTTAAACTAAAATACTGACACTTTACATTACCAACAATACTTTTACAGGCAAATAGATAAGATATAGTAAAAATTCATAAGATAAATTTATTTAAATTCACAAATTTATATATTAATTATTATATTTGTTAATTATATTTATTATTATTTATGATTTTTATTGTAATACAAATGCATATCAACGTCGTATCTAATACGGATCTAATATATATATATATAAGAGACTGAAAAATATGAGTTTATAATTTATTAAATTACTTACTCTACCCACACGAAATCAATTATGTTCGCGTGAATTGGGAATAATCAACATAAGATTAAATCGATACGATAGACGTATGATTGAGGATAATATTTCCCGCTTGTATTCGTAGTTCATATTTTGCCCATACCTGTCGCTAAAGTCATCAAATCATATATTCTTCGAATATAAGATAGTAAATAGCCGTAATAAGCGTATATACCGATAGAATACGATAGGCGGATAATGAGAACCATATTACCTATGTAGTTCATATTTTGTCCATATTTGTCGCTCAAGTCGCATATACTGCGAAGCAAAAGGTGATAAGCAGCCTTAAGAAAAAATTCATAATTTCGGTATTTCTATTATAGAATTTAATTAAATGTGGTCCTTTTAAATATTTCGTGAAGAATAGTAAAAGGCTTTTGAAATTTATTATCAAGTTGTTTTATAGTAAAAAAGTGAACCAATAAAAATTTGCTTTTTGTTGCAAATATGAAAACTAAACAAAATGCAATGGTTTGCTAAATACATTTTATGATTGGTTAAATTGGTCGAAACCGGTACTATATTCTAATCTTATAATTATTGTGGATTCGATTAATATTAATAACAAATTTATAAAATATTATTGACGTAATATATATTACGCATATATACTCAAAATATATGTAATCTTGATCTAAAATTATTAAACGCATATTAATCAAAAACAATCATTTGTTATGTCAACTTCAACGAGTAATACGAACGAATCACAATTATGTACGTATATATTATTATCTAATATGATAATGAATAATATTACAAATTATTTCTTTTTTTATTACAGCTGATGAACATGTATTTGTTGTTCCAAGTAGAGCTATTAAAGTTCCAGTTGATATGTCTGTTTGGGAAAAATCAGAAGCCTATTTCGTAAGTTGTTTTTTTCTCTTTTTTAACATTTATTATAAAATATTTATGCATTGGTTATTATTCCTTTTTTTTTATAAATTTTACATATTATGTAGGAATATCTAGGATTTATATTAGCATTAAATAAATCTATAGAAGGAAAATCTTTAGACTCCAAATGTGAACAATCTCCTGCAGTAGAAAATATTTTGAAAATGCTTAATAATTTAGATGAATGGATAACGCAAATACCACCAACTGAACAACCTCAACGATTTGGAAATAAATCATTTCGAACCTGGCATGCAAAGTTACAAGAGGTAAAAATTATATCTTGTTTTTACATGTATTTTAATTATTAAAGTTTAATATTAATAAGTTTTTATAGGAAGGTATACAAGAATTACAGCAAGCGTTGCCACAAAATTTACACAGAGCTATACCAGAAATAATTCAATATTTATATGAGAGCTTTGGAAATCCAACACGTATTGATTATGGGACAGGGCATGAAATGGCATTTCTAATGTTTTTATGTTGTTTATTTAAAATTAGAGCTTTTACAGAAAATGACAAAGTTGCTGTTGCTATAAAAGTATTCAATAGGTATTAGCTTTTCTGGGATATAATTTATTTGTTCTTCTTGTTTTTAAATATATATATACATATATATATTTTTTTTTTCTTAAATAGATATTTGCAGTTGGTACGTAGACTGCAAATTACATATCGTATGGAGCCAGCAGGTAGTCATGGTGTTTGGAGTTTGGATGATTATCAATTTGTACCTTTCATATGGGGAAGTTCTCAATTGATTGGTAAAGAATTATTTATATATGATTAATTTTTTTTTCCATTTTAGATAATGAAAAACTGATATATGATACATAATTATATTCTATAAACATAAAATATATATAATTTTAGGCCATCCACGTATTGAACCTCGCCACTTTGTAGATCAAGATGTTATTGAATTGCATGCAAAACAGTACATGTTTCTTGGATGCATAGAGTTTATCTCAAAGGCATGTACTTGATTAAGACTATACGAACATTATTTAAATAATAAGTAAAACAATAGATTTATTTTAATGTCGTTTTAAGTTTCAATTTTTGCTCTTAATTATGACAGATATATCATATTAGGTTAAGATAGGACCATTCGCGGAACATTCGAATCAATTGTGGAATGTGAGTGCTGTTAATTCGTGGGCAAAAGTAAATAACGGGCTTATTAAGATGTATAAAGTGGAGGTAAACTTTATATTATGTAATAACTATTAATAATAAAATTGTAATAAATCGATATTATTAAATTTATTTTGCAGGTACTGTCAAAGTTTCCTGTAATTCAACATGTTTTATTTGGATCATTGTTACCAATAAAACCAGCTACTACTTGTCCCAATGTCAGAGGTGCTTGCTTTGATTCACCGATACAACCACCATCGCAAATACATTAATAACAGCTTAATACATTTTATGAATTAGTACATTTGTTCTTTCATTTATATGTTAACTATAAAAATAATATAAATTGACCTTGTATCATATGATGGTATTTAGGCCTAGATTTTCCTTAAGATTCAAATATAGCCTGAAATACTATTTGGCAATAAATTTAAAAATGAAAGTAACAGAATTTTAATTTTTAAGTAAAATATCTAAATAAATATGTCTTACTGTTATATAAATATTTAATAGATAATTATTCTTATAATATATATTATTGTATATGAACTTAGTAACTTTATGAATAAAATAGTTTTACTCTAATGTGAAAGGTGATTAAAAAATATTAAAATTTTCATTAACATCTGATATGATATACTATTTATTTTAATAATCAAAACAATTCATAATTTTGAGTACGTATTTATATATTTCTAACTGTAAGGTTATGTTCAAAATGATACCAATCGACGCGACGTGGTCGAATGTATGCTTATCTGTGTAGATAAGTGTTTCGTATTTACATATATACATTCATAAATTTATTTTACTTAATGTTGTTATTTGTCCATAAAAATATTCTTTCGTTAGTCGTAAAAGACCATTTGGTGGATATAAGTTACTTATAATATTTTAACCAAAATTATTACATTTATACAAATATTTTTTTATCTTTATTATTGACAAGATATTTTTACAACAAATAATGTTGAAAGCTGTTATATTAATTGGTGGCCCATTAAAAGGTATGTTAACCTAAAAAATTTTCTTTGTTCAATAATATTTTGATGAATAATATAATTAAACAATTATAATTTATTTATTTTTATAGGGACCAGATTTCGTCCTCTCTCATTAGACATACCTAAACCATTGTTTCCAGTTGCCGGTTTACCTATGATTCAACACCATATTGAAGCATGTTCTAAAGTACCTAATTTAGAAGAAATTTTAATAATTGGTTCATATTCTGCCAATGAATTATCACAGTTTATTACGGATATGAAAAGCACCTATGGTGTAATTATTAGGTATTTGCAAGAATTTACACCATTAGGTACAGCTGGTGGAATGTATCATTTTCGAGATCAAATTCGTTCTGGTAGTCCAACATATTTTTTTGTAATGAATGGAGATGTATGTGCTGATTTTCCTTTATCAGAACTTGTAGAATTTCATAGTAAAAAAAAAGCATTACTTACTATTATGGCTACGGAAGCCACTAGACAACAATCGTTAAATTACGGATGTATGGTTTTGAATAAGGAAGGAGAAGTGGCACATTATGTTGAAAAACCATCAACATTTGTATCTACTCTCATTAATTGTGGAATATATATCACATCTCCTGACATATTTCAATCAATGGCAGATGTTTTTTATGCTAGTCAACAGCAAGAAAATTCTTTGTAGGTATCATTAATAAAAAATATTTATTAATAGACTCTATCACATTTTTATTACAGTTATATATTCTAATGTTATTAACTTTATTTTTCTCTTCAATGAGACAGACAAATAAATGGAAA